GTGTGTGTGTGTGTGTGTGTGTGTGTGTGTGTGTGTGTGTGTGTGTGTGTGTGTGTGTGTGTGTGTGTGTGTGTTTGCCAAAGCAAACGAGTTTTGAAATGAAATGTAAAGCAATGCAAAACACTTGATTTGGATGTTAGGAGAGCTGCTGTGTTCTCTAAGGAGGCACAAATTAAAAAAAACAGGTCTGTCACGAAGTTCCAGGAAAAACAGATTCCACTGGAAGTCCTTTCCCATTAGTCAGGCGAGTGGCAATGTTTGGAAAACTGACCAAGCTGCAGACATGTTTGTGTTCGACAGTGTTGATTAACTATGGTAGCCATCTTAACTGGAAATGGCTCCAAAAGTTTATCAGTTATAGATGCACATCAGGAGATCATTTCATGGGAGGCTCATCTAAATCTGTATAAGGATTCAAGAGATATTTTGCTAACAGACAAACATAGACAAACAAATTAACAGTAAGATTTTAAGCAGAAGTTTTTGCATAATGAGTCACATTAGGAGCATACCTTGTGAAATACTCTCAGCTACTACCACACCATATTTTAGCTCAATATCTGTAAAACTGACTGAATTATAATCCCTTTTGTGCATTTTAAGATCGGTTGACTGTGGCGGCCATCTTGAATGGCGTTGGTTTCAAAAGTTAATCACCTCTAGAGGGACATGTAATGATAATTTGGTGAAAGTTTTGTAAAAACAATCCATGCAGTGGTTTATGACATATTTTGCTAACAGACTAAAAAAAGTTAACTCCAAATGGTGGCAAAAATTTAAGCAAAGATGCCATTCAATGTGTTGTGTTATGTGTTGTCAATGATGCTGAGCTAAAATATTACCAAATTTTAGCTCAACATCTATAACACTGGCAGAGTTGTAGCCATTTTTGTCTCTGCAAAAGTCAGCAGGCTGTGGCAACCATCTTGAAGTAGGTTGGTTTCAAAAGTTAATCACTTCTAGAGGAACATTTCATAATTATTTTGCGAAAGTTTTATTGAAAAACGTGCAGTTGTTCATGAGATATTTTGCTAACAAACAGAGTTAACTCCATATAGTCAGTGGCAAACATTTAAGCAAAGATGCCATACGTTACGTGTTTTAAATATGGGTTGTGAATGATGATCAGCTAATACCTTAATAAATTTCAGCTTAGTATCTATACAATTGGCTGAGTTGTAGCCATTTTTATTTCTGTAAAGGTCAATAGGCTGTGGCAGCCATCTTAAATGGGTTCGACTCCAAAAAGGATGTACATCCAATGATCACTTCAAGGAGTCGCATTAAAATCTGTTCACTGAGAGGCAGGCGATGCAAACGTGGGGGGAGAAGATGATGCAGCAGAGTATTATTTAAAAATCGACCTAATTAGAAAGGATACACACCTGTGTAATTATAACTCAGGGGTTTTATTTTATTTTTTTTCCACCTCCTGTGATAATTATTTCTCTTCCATTTCTCTCCTGGATGTTTCCATCACAGCTCTGGACACGTTTTGCTGCGGGTCTTCATGTCTCGTAATGATAATAATAATGTTCATTCAAAGAGCGCGGGCCCTGAGAGGAATGTGAGGGGGCCGCGAGAACACTGGCTTATTTTGTCATTAAACTTTGATGCCGGTATAATGAGTTAGTCATAAAGACTTGGAGCTCCGCAGCAGAGAGGAAGCCAGAGCTGCTTGTATCGCCGGCAGCAGCTTAAAGACCATCAGGAGACAAAACACTTCCCATTAAATTTCACTCACATCCAAAATCCTCTAACTCAGCGATTGATTCTCAAAAAAGACTTCATTCTGAGAGGACGCTTGAGCCGAAGGGTTCTGCAAATGTTGCATTATTTAAACTTTTTTAATGCATTCTTTGCATGTTTTCACTTCTGATGTTCAATCTTTTACCACTGAAAAGATGTTGATAAATTCATTTAATCAAAAACATTTACCACTATCTTATTATGTATGAACATATAAGTCATGTAATGTGTGTTTCTCCAGTCACACCAGTAGTGATACACACTGGTGAATTCCAACTTCTACTTACTGCAGGCACTTTTTCTCCAGCATGATTAAAATTGCAAATTTCACTTCCCTAATGAAAAAGAAGGCCCTTCAATACTGAGTAATTACACATTATACAGCTTATTAATGGCAATGACTTAAAACCCAAACTTTAGCTCAGTATCTATTTACCTGATTGAATTAAAGACTTTTTTATTTGTTTGTTTGTTTACAAAGATGTGGTGCCCATCCTGAATCAGACTCCGAAACTTAATCAGTTAAAGATTCCCTAATTTGATATTTTTTAGGTTGTTTGACGTACTCTTAAAGTTATTATTATAAAATGGACTACAGTAAGACAACAGCTGTTCCTGTACGATCAGATTCATCTTTTATCAGGAGAGGAAAAAACACACACACGTTCCTCCAAGATCTTTGCACGGATTTCCAGTTAAGTAAATTGAGGACAATTTGTTTTTTTAACACCCTGGGACTGAAATCCATCTTCAGCACGTTTAATGAGCTCAAGCCTGGAGCGGATTCTGAAGCCTAAATAATAAAGTTTAGTCATTAAGCTGCTCTTTGTTGGAATCCGATCCAGCTGGAAGGTAAAATGTGTTCACATCTTCACAAAGATGTTCACTGATTTTAGGCGCTACACAACCTTCATGCATGTGAACCATGCAGACTTATCATGCTTTTAAATCCTTCTTTTTCACCTTTAAATCATTCACTTGGGATCTATTTCAAGTGGAACTGCAATGCTTTGGTCTGAATTCCTCCTTGTTATAACTCCACAAGCCCCTCTTTCAGTTCTTTTCTGAGGTGCGTCTCAGATCAACTCATTTTGAGGCTGTCTCTTTAAATGCACACTGCCCCTCCCCCTACAGCTTCCAGACAAAAATGCAATTTGTTTTGTGCACATTGATTCCCTATTATCACCCATATGTGTTCGTTTGTCTGTATTTTTATACAGTATAATTTAAATAGTAAACATTTGGTTGACTTTTAAAACTGATTCACTTATGGAGTCACTCCAGTTCAAGACGTGTGCCACATCAAAGCAATTTAGGTAAAACAAAATTTAGGTAATCTTGCAGACATTGAACTCAAATGTTGGTGTGGTAGTAGCTGAGACTGAACCTCAACTTACATTCTGAGCCCTATCTCATTGAGCAACATCTGGGTTTGCTGGTGACTATTGGAATAAATTTTGTCTGTTAGCAAATTATCTAATAAACCACTAAACAGATTTTAATGAAACTTTCAGCAGGTAATTATTTGATTGACATCTATGACTGATTAATGTTTGGACTCCAACCAATTCAAGATGGCCAGCAAAATAAAATGACCTTAGAATGCACAAAAATGGTTACAAGTCAACCAATTTGACGCAAACTGAGCTAAAATTTGGTGTGTTGGTGACTGATCATTAGCCTTAACACATATCATGTAAAGCATTGTGCAACATCTTTGCTTAAAACCTTGGCAATAACTGTTGGGAGTCAAACATATTTGTCTGTTAGCAAAATATCTTATAAACCACTTGAAATTTTTCAATGAAACTCACAAATTGTAATCATTGGTTGCAACTTTACAGCTGATTATGTTTTGGAGTCAATCTGATTCAAGATGTCTACAAAAGCTACAGTGGTTTGCAAAAGTATTCATACCCCTTGAACTTTTCCATATTTTGTCACATTACAACCACAAACATAAATATATTTCACTGGAATTTAATGTGAAAGACCAACACAAAGTGGTATACAATTGTGAAGTGGAAGCAAAATTTTACATGAATCAAAACATTTTTTACAAATAAAAAACTGAAAAGTGCGATGTGCAAAATTATTCAGCCCCCCTGAGTCAATACTTTGTGGAGCCACCTTTTGCTGCAATTACAGCTGCAAGTCTTTTAGGGTATGTCTCCACCAGCTTTGCACATCTAGTGACTGCAATTCTTGCCCATTCCTCCTTGCAAAACAGC